TGTCATGTCCTGTCTTGTTCGAGTATGAGACAGACAACAAGTTTTTGTACTGTCATGTCCTGTCTTGTTCGAGTATGAGACAGACAACAAGTTTTTGTACTGTCATGTCCTGTCCTAGTCACAATATCAACATCATCATGATCTTCATCTTATGCTTTTACATCAGTTGAACCCCATTATCAAAGATGTATCGGAAGAAGGTAGTAGATCAACAACGAGTTCAGAGACTAGAAATCGCAAAGTATGTGGTTTCATGTCCTCCATTCAAAGATCATCTTTTTATGCTGTTTTAGTTTGTTTTTAGAATCTATTTACATTTGAAACAAATTAATGGAGGAACTAAAGACAGCCATTGTAGTAAATAGTGAGCTTGTGTTAGTCCCAATTACACCATTCAAAGAATCTTCAAAACTTTGTTGCAGAGTTTTCAAGCTTGCTTGAACAAAGATGATTGCAACCACTGGCAGGTGTTTAAAGTACAAGAGAAAAAACTACAGGTATGCTTTCTTTAGTTCTAAAAACTATATAGAAACACTAAATACGTTTAAATGTCCTAATAGACCGTTTTATATCCCACCACCTCATTATCTAGTATCTCCATCTTCCAGAACCTGAAGGCATTGTTGTCAAGCACGAAGGCGGAGTTTGGAGATCTGCAGTCGCAATGGCAACACGATTTAAAACAAATGGGTATGCTTAAGATGATTTTGAATGTTCTAAAAGTTGGTTTCTTTACTAATAGTTTCTAGCTTGTCTTCAAAGATTAAAGAATGCTTGTTTCCCGATTGTTGTACATGGGTTCTCAGAGAGTCAGGTAGAGGAGTTATCGACTGCTGCCCAAGGATACCATAAAGTCGTGAAAGAAAACCGGACTTTATACAACATGGTACAAGATCTAAAAGGTATATTAACACACAACTTCTGTATCTTGTTCTTTAAAGGTATCAACTTGATGGCTGTGTTGTTTGCTACCTTACGATCCACATATTTCAGGAAATATTCGAGTTTACTGCAGGATCAGGCCTGCATTTAGAGCTGACACGAAAAATGTGATTGATTTTATTGGAGAAGATGGTTCGTTAGTCGTTTTAGATCCTTCAAAACCAAATAAAGATGGAAAGAAGTTGTTTCAGTTCAATCGTATCTTTGGTCCAACTGCTACTCAGGGTAATAATACTAGACCATTTTCTTCGGTTTTATAATCTATTTTTTGCTACTTAAATTCTAACATTTTTGCATTTTTATCAGAGGAGGTATTTGCGGACACTCAACCGCTGATAAGATCTGTTATGGATGGTTACAATGTGTGCATTTTTGCTTATGGGCAAACAGGATCTGGGAAAACACATACAATGGTGAGATACTTGAGTTTCAATTTCAGTTTCTTGACATTAAACGGTTCCTTTTTGTGGTTCTAATATCATTTGGTTGATGTTTCTGTTGATTTGATAGTGTGGTCCTTCTGGTGCATCAAGAAAAGAACTGGGAATCAATTATTTAGCTCTCAGCGACCTCTTTGATCTATCGAATAGTAGAAAAGATGTCATAAAGTACGAGCTTTATGTCCAAATGGTTGAAATATACAACGAACAAGTCAGAGATCTTGTCACTGGAGATTCTGCAAACACCAGCAAATTGGAGATCCGTAGCTGCACAACTGAGAACGGATTGAGCCTTCCTGATGCCACCATGCACTCGGTGAAGTCCACCACTGATGTTCTAAACTTGATGAAAGTTGGTCAAGTGAATCGGGCTGTTAGTTCAACAGCACTGAACCACCAAAGTAGCCGATCCCACAGGTTCGCAGACCACAAACAGTTTCTTGTTTTTTAACCTTAAGAACAAGAATTATAACTTCTTTCTTGCAGCATATTGACGGTCCATATCCATGGGAAAGATGCATCTGGCGGCACTATTCGTAGCTGCCTTCATTTGGTAGATTTAGCGGGAAGCGAAAGGGTGGATAAATCAGAAGTCACCGGTGAAGGGCTTAAAGAAGCTCAATATATAAACAAGTCACTTTCTTGTTTAGGAGATGTGATTACTGCCTTATCTCAGAAGAACTCTTACATTCCTTACAGAAACAGCAAGCTAACACTACTCCTTCAGAACTCATTAGGTATTTAATATATATAATACAAGAAATGGAGTTAGTTTCGAACTGAGAGTACATTTACAAACGGGTTTCTTACAAAAAATGCAGGAGGAAACGCGAAGACTTTGATGTTTGCTCACGTGAGCCCAGAAGGAGATTCTTTCGGGGAAACAGTTAGCACATTGAAGTTTGCTCAACGAGCTTCGACTGTTGAACTTGGTGCAGCTAGATTGAATAAAGAAAGCAGGGAGGTCATGGACCTTAAAGAACAGGTATCTTTCATATAAAGAATGTGTTTTTATTAGCCATTAAGCATGGTTTTGGGGTTAATTTATTTGCATGAATCGAGCAGATTGAGACCCTTAAGAGGCAATTGGCTGAAAAGGAACCACAAAGTGCACAAACTGCTAACAGATTAGAACCAAGATCGCCATTACCGAAACCAAAACCAGTACCTATGATGATGGAAAGAACCCCACCTCGATCAAGAAGGTTGAGCACTGAGAACAAATGTCCACCCAAGAGTCCGAATTCTGGTTCGAAAAGCAGAGCACTGAAAACAGATGGAAGAATTACAAGAATTCCATCGCTGGTGCTACCAAAAACACCTGAACCTCCTCAAGTGTCAATCAGAAATGCGATAATAATCTCTTCAGAAAGCAAGGAGCCGACGGGTATTACGAATGGGAAAACATCATCATCCCATATAAGGAAATCACTTCGAACGATTGGGAAACTAATTAATGGGTCCGAGAAAAGGTGGGTGAAGATCATGATTTTGATTTTGTAGTTGATTTCTGAAACCATATAATGATAGGGATTTGAACTTGTTGTTTACAGGATTCAAAGTCAGAAAACGAATGAAGTAGTAGTAGCCTCACCGGCAACTGTTGGTAGGCCATCAAGACGACAATCTCTAACTGGGATTCAACCATCAAGAAGATCTTCCCTTGGAGGAGTTGAGAATTGTAAGCTTATAATGATAAGTATTGGAAATTTGAACTTATTGATCTCACCATACAACTTATATATATATATAATATGTATCTAATGATTGATATGGGTTCGTTTTAAGGTCGGAAGGGTGCGAAAACGCCTCCACCAGTCGTCAATTCTTCAAGCAATATGAAGCAGTGGATGTAAAGGCTTGATTGATGATGGCTGTGCGACCAAGTGAACTAACATGGCGGGTGCTTTGACTTGAAGCATATTCTTGAGCTGCAATTTACAGAAAGAATGACAATCTCTCAGTTTTAGTGGTGGTGTACAGACGATAGTTCTTACAATTGATTCTGAGCATTTCATTTTGTTCGGATAAATAATTACGATATTTGACCGATAAATTAAGACATCTTTTAGAAAATCTCTTAATAACTACTTATTCAAGAACACAAAACATAATAAGCATTGGATCTTTTGCTTTCGGTTGCTCGGGCTGATTTGATGAGTTATTGATTTAAGTTATCGATTTATGGTTTGATTTAAGGATTAATTTAGGTTTGTATCACACACGATTGAAATGAAATTGTTGTCAGATTAAGGATTCAGACATGTATCAATCAGAAATTAAATAAGACTTTAGATTTCAAATTTTTTTTTAAATCAAACAACACTTAGTTGTTAGCGGATAAAAAGTCACTTTGGGTCCCTTGTGGTTACATGAAAATTTGGATTGGGTCCCTCAAATGAAATAATTATAAATTTGGATTGAATCGTTGCCTCTAAATCCATTAAGAGGCTGTTCAGTTCGCTTTCTGTTAAGACCTGTATGGATATAGTTGTCTGTATTGATATAGTTGTCTGTATATTAACAGATAAGTTGTTGTTCGGTTGTTATGCTGAATAATAGTCTGAATGTTAGAAAATGACCATTTTACCTCGGTCTTTATTTTTGTCTGAATAAAACAATAGTTGTCTGTATTGTAGTTTCTCTGTAAGCGATCATATTAGAAACAAACCCTGGCGAAATCTGTTTAGGAAGAAGATGAACCAGGTATTGTTATTGAAGAATGTCTTCAAGGTTGGAAAACACGATTTTGTTGAGAAAGTTGAAGAACGTCTTCAAAGGAATCACCAAAGACTTGAAAAACCATCGTTACTCTCAAACTTGCTCTCATCACCACCTCCAACAGCGCCATCATCCACCGTTTGTGGATGCTGCACCTACTGAGGTACCAGCTCCAACTTATTTTTCTCAACTTCTTCCTCGTTCTTAAACCCTAAATCTTTGTTCTTCCGAAGAGATTGAAGAAAACCCTCGCCAACATTAACATCGTTATAAAGATCTTTGTTATACCCTAAATCTTCGTTCTTCCGAAGAGATTGAAGAAAACCCTAAATCTCGTTCGCATCTCCACCGCCATGGGATTCATTTTGATCCATGATTTCCAACTCCTAAGTTCGAAATTTGAGAGATGGAGAGAAAGAAATGGATCGACAAAGAGTTTGGAGCAAACCCAGTTTGAAATATGAGAGATGGAGAGAAAGCTCGTTTCAGCAGCACGAGAAGAGAACTCGTCACCAGCAGCTTCGGATTCAAGTCGAGAGATGGAGGACGAGGGATAGAGAGATCGAGATATGGAAAGGAGGAGCAAGGAGCTACAAAACCATCATCTTTTTCAAGGAGGCACGCCTGAGGAAGGAGAAGGGATGCAACGTGAATCATAAGGGCAAATCACACACCCTTTTACTAGCTGACCGAATAAGCCATCATCTGTTTCATTAAGTCACAACCGAACAACCTTGTATGGCTTACCGAATAAGCCATACATCTTATACAGCTTATTAAGCTGCTACCGAACAGCTCCGAACAGCTCCGAACTTAGCTTTGTTAAGTCAAGTTTCTTTTAATCATTTTATATTTACTTTTAAAAATTAAATATAATATATATATGTATACACACAGAAGCATACACGTCTGAATCCCTCCTTCCCCACCGGCCAACCTGCCATACATCCCTCCAGTCATCTCCGATCTCCCTCCCACCAAGTCATCGTCTCTTTCTTCTCCCGTCTCCCTCCTACCCCATTTAACTACCACATCGTCACCTATTCAGATATGCAACTCAAGGATTGAGGGAGAATGGGGGAGCCAGCAAACTCGACTGCCCCCTCCTCCCAAAGGACGTACCCTGCCAGTGCTGTCAATCTTCTCCCGCGTCTGCCATATCTCCGGCGTCTCCCTCATTTTTTCCAGATGTGCCATCTCCATTATTCATCTTCATTTGTTTATGTTTTACGATAGAGGATCAGAGTTGGTTTCAGGTCGGAGTTGGGTTTTTTAGATATTCATCATCTTTTAGGGGGTGTTTGGGAAGGCTTTTCAAACTGACTTATTAACTTATTTCAGTTTGGTACCGGAGATAAGCTATTCTGGAGTGTTTGGATAAAAAAAAAAATGCTTATACCGGTACCAAACCGGTAATAAGTAGTTTTTGATAAGTTAATCCTTTGTGACTTATGAAAATTGACTTATTACCGATTTACCATTTTACCCCTGTTAACCCACATCTGTATCGTCTTCTCCGATCGATCCCTTCTCTAGTACGTCAACAGTTCGATCGATCTCTTCCATCACGTCTTCTCCACCTCTTCTCCAGGTACGTCTTCTCCGATCGATYTCTTCTCCGATCGATCTCCGATCGATCTCTTCTATCACAAATCGATACCCTAACCCTAGAGATCGATAACCCTAGAGATCGATAACCCTATACGATGAACAAATCGATCGATAACCCACATCTATGCGATCGATCGATAACCCTATACGATAACCCTAGAGATCGATAACCCTATGCGATCGAGATATCCCACCTGCATCGAGTCTCCGACATCGGTTTTCTGATCGATCGATAACCCACATCTATTTTTTGTTATTGATATTTTGGTTATAAAAGTTTGACATATCAGCTTACATATAGATGTCCTTTTTGGTCATTTTACATGTATAAGCAAAATTTGCCAAACACTAAAAAACAACTTATCAGCTTATTGCAGTTTGGTACCGCTATAAGCTAATCCAAACACTTTTTACAAAACTCCGGTTTGATACCGCATAAGTTAATAAGCACTTTTACAAGAAAGCATAAGTTGTTTTAAATAAGCAATCCCAAACACCCCCTTAGTTCCTTATCGGTCATGTTTAAACTGGTTATTGACTTATTTCGGTGTGTTACTTGTAATAAGCAGTTTTTAGTGTTCGGATGAAAAAAAGATAAATACTTATACCAGTGTCAAACCTGTAATAAAAAGTTTTTGATAAGTTAGATACAACTTTCTAACTTATCAGATTACACTTATTAGCTTGGAAAACCAATTTACCATTTTAACTCTAAACCTCATACCTTCTCATTACATTCGAGCAACCAGTTCATCAACATCGACCGACATTCACTTACAAAATCCAAAATCGACCTTGTAGAGACATCAACATCTGAAATAGCGTCAAATCGGAAGGGTTTACCGCAAACCTTATGCCTTAAGTAATAGCGTATAAATTCTTCATCAGTGGGATGAAACCTAAAACCAGGAGCAAGTGAAGAAGGCGCTGGTGGTAGCGAATCAATAACTACTGCCATATAGGAAAAATATTGAATGTTGATAGAGAGAAAAGGAAGAAGTTTGATTTAGGGTTTCATGGTGTCATTTGAAAATGAAAACTCGTTGTCCCATATTTTTTCTGACATGGAATAGAATAAGGACTCACTTTACACGTTTGATGCGATATGAGCCTTAGTGGGACACAAAGAGTTTTTTTTTTTGTTCCACCAAAATAGGTAGGACAAAAAAGGTTTTTCTATTCCACCTAGATGGGACAAAAAGGTGACAGAAACTAAAATATTACAAGTTTACCCTCATTTGATGTCATCATAATATGATATTTATTTGTATGGACACCATCGTCCACCACCGCCAATACTAGTAGGCAATTAACAGCCACCGTCGACCATCTTCGGCCACCTCCACTGCTACATCATCCACCACCTCAACTATGACCACCAGTACCACCTCTACCTTCAACAGGTTGAGCACAACTACCCCCATCATAACCAAACAAGCAACTTGTTAACCGACTTGACTTTTGCAACCATGGAGAGTCCGCCCTAATTTTTTATGTTATGTGGATTTTTGTTAAATTTAATTATAATTGACGTTATGATCTCTAAATTAATAAAATTTATTGGAGCTAAATGTAATTTTTTTTAAAAGATTTTAATATTTAACTTTTTATTTTAAAATAAATTTAAAAAATATGTTGGAGATCAAGTAGACCAAGATTTTTATAACCTTGAACTTTCTATTGTTATAAATCCCTTGCTTTTAGTTTGGTTTACTTCTATTTCGTAGAGTGTTAAAATAAACGCGTATAATATTCTTAGCTATTATTGATAACAACACTATTAAAAAATGGGTATCATTGATGGATTTTTCTGGCGGAAATTCCGTTGAAAAATCAGTGACGGCTTTCCGACGAATCCCAAAGAAGTCAAGGAAAGTTAACTTTTGTTGACTTCCACCACAAATCCCCACAAATCCGTCACTGAATTTTTAACGTTTTATTGTATTTGTAGTTAATTAACGACTTAAAGTTCCAAATTCAAGAAAAGCGCACTTGAGATGAGATCCGATAGAAGGAGGTTGACGAAATTATCCGCCAAGAAGAGATCAGAAAGAGGGAAGATGAGATCTGAAAGAAATAGTATGCAGACATGATGGATATGATGAAAAAGTTTACACAATCTCAACAGTTTTTGTCGACCCTATCGCAATAGATTTGATGTATTGTATTTATGAACTAGTGTCACCAATCATACTTTAATTTTGTTGAAGAATTTTTATATTATTTCGTCCAGATAATCATATTAGGTATTTATGGCGGATTTATGGATTATATATTTGTATTTAGTTTACAGAATCTTTATATTTTAGTATTTTAGATTAGTAGGTTTTTTGGTTTTTTCCCTATAACAGCTACATTTCCGACGGATTTCTGGAGGAGAATCCGTCGGTAAATAATTAAATTTAAGTTTTATTATCGAAAACAAATTTTCTGGCGGATTGTCCGACGGATTTCTGACAGAATATCCATTAGTAAATATTTTCATTTATTAAAAATAAAAAAAACATTTCATATTTTAAATCACAAAAAACATTTTTTAAATATAATTACCAACGAAAATTCCGATGGAAATCCTTCGGAAGTTTGTATTTTATTTTTGAAAATAAAACCATTTATTATTTTGAATAAAAGTTAAAAAAAAAAGGAAATCAAATTACCGACGGATTCTCAACGAAAATCCTGTCGGTAACACTAA